GAATTAAATAGATGGTTTTATTTAAACCTGTCATGTCAAATTAAAACACTTAATGTGTAAAGTGTGATTACGAGATTTTCTTTTCCAAGCTCCAGGACCAATTAGTAACAATACTGAAATGCACTAATAATAAGCAATCAGAGCATTAAGAAAAATGTAATCTTTTTACTAATGAGGCAACTTTGGCATCAATTCAAACCTAAGCTTAGTGGGCACTGTGATTTTGAAAGGGATGAACTTCCTGATATAGACTCATGCAGTTTCTCTTAATACTAACATCTTCTTGTTTTTTTAGGTATATAATTTATAAAATACTTTCATACCTAGTAATTATCTACAGGATAACATTGTGAAGTAGGGCATTTCCTAAAGGCCTATTCTGTTCTAGACACTGTACTTACACTGGGATGATTTTTTAAAAATGAACAAGAATGAATTCTATCTTGAAAGAGCTCACAATCTAACAGAGAAATGAACAAATGATTTCTATGAAATGCGCTATAATAAATAAGGAAACAAACAAGGAATTGTGATTCCCTAGCAGCAAGGCCTAACACCCTCTAGCCAGAAATGGGGCTGGAAGTGTCTTAGGTTTTGGGAAGGAGATCACATAGAGCAGGCTTTTGAAAGATAAGCAGGAGCTTTCTGACATAAACGTGGGGTGGGGTAAAGAAGAAAGACAATCCCAGACAGAGGGAACAACATGCATACAGTGGATAGTGGGAAAGCACTATCCCCAATTAAAAGATGAGGAAGGTAAGCTCCAAGGTAAGTGAGCTGCCTAACACCACATGAAGATTAATTTAACAACGTATAAAGAATATAGGTCTTCAGATTTTAATCAGCTTTGTACACCTGGAAATGCCAGTACATGCTGGACAAGAACATCAGATAAAGATTAGTTTCTATCTCCTATTTACTCCTTCCTAAGAGATGGTCCGTGCATGACCCAGATCCTGGGGAGTGAGAAAGAGTGGGCAGAGATAAGGAGGGAGGCTTATTTAAACCTCCTGGCAATCCTGTGAGATAGGTGTTTTTACTATCCCCATTTTATATATGAGAACATGGAGGGCCAAAGGCATTAACAAAAGTTGGAAATTAAGAGAAGATTCAAACCCAGGTGACTAACTTCACCAGGCTTCTAAGCTCAAGCACTTAACCATACCCTATAGAGCCTCCCTGCTCTGCCAAACAACTCTAGGCCATTCTTGATCTGAAGACATCAGAGAAAGAAACCAAGTGGGTTTTGGAACACATGGTCCCACAGATCTCGTACTGTACCACACATCTGAAAAATTCACACAAAATTTCACATTTGGTTCTCTTATTAATCTGGTATTCCTTGAGTAGAAAAGCCCGCACATAAGGTGGCATGGGTGCTTTCTGCAACATTTTTACAATCTAATTTAATTGGACAAGAGGAAACTTAACAAGTGGTAATCAAAAAGGAAATCACAGAGTAACAGCATGAAGCCTGGAGATATATAAAGGAGGAAGCCCCAATCCCTCTTTTTTGCTTGAGTGTGGGATTTTTCGAGGGCAGGAGGGAAGCATACAAATGTGTTTCAGGTGTGCTAGCATAGCTGCTACTCACCACACAGTTCAGACCAAAGAACGGAGTAGAGTACACCCTGATTTCCTTTATCAAGGGTTCATATAACAACCTTAGGATATCAGGCAACCAAACTCACCCCTTGAATACGTTTTAAGGAAGCAGACAATTCAGAGCTGTCATGGTTTCCTAGAGCAAATCGCAACAAATCCAGTGTTGCTGACAATATTTTCTCTCATAGGCAGATCCCGAATTCCCTGGGTTCATTTTAGCACACCTGAAACATGTTTGCGTGCTCCTTCTTCCCTCAAACCAGGCCCCTCGCAAAAAAACAACAAAACCCCACACATTCAAGCAAAAAAGGGGCATTGGGCTTCCTCCTTTATATATATTCAGGTTTCATGTTGTTATTTTGTGACTTCCACCTTTTTGGTTACCAGTTTAAGTTTCCTCTTGTCCAACAGACAAGTATTTGTCCAACTGACAGATATTTCACCTTGTGAAGTATATGGGGAAATAATTACAGGAATGAAATCCCTAAAGAAGGTTGTGGACTATCATGTTCAAGACACATAAACCAATCTGGCCAGGAACAGTGGTTCACGACCATAATCCCAGCACTTTGGGAGGCCGAGGCAGAAGGATCAACTGAGGTTGGGTGTTCAAGACCAGCCTAACCAACATGGAGAAACCCCACCTCTACTAAAAATACAAGATTAGCCAGGCATTGTGACACATGCCTTTAATCCCAGCTACTCAGGAGGCTGAGGCAGGAGAATCACTTGAACCCTGGAAGCTGAGATTGTGGTGAGCAAGAGCCTTCCATTGCACTCCAGCCTGGGCAACAAGAGTAAAACTCACGCCCCCAGACCCAGACAAAATTTCATATTTAGTCAACTGGTATGGCTCGCTCACTAAGGTAACAATTATACGCATGAGAAGGAAGGGAATTAATCAAAACAATACATAAACCAATCCATCCTCACTTTTCACTGGGGTGATCTGCAGTTGAAAGGTCCTACGCAAATCCAGAAATAAGAAAACTTCCTTTCAGGCTAATTGTCAGCCCTTACAGATCTCTAGCTCTCCAGGAAAGAGGCTCCCAATCAGTAGTATAAAATCTGCCAGCAATCTCCTAGTGGGCACTATCAGGCTTTCTTCCAAGGTTTCCCACTGTTGTGAAGGGAAAAGCTGACATGGTTACAACCTCCCCAAGCTGCTTTAATATCTTGTCAGAACTACCATCGACGCGTTTCCGTGACCTTGGCACCTGCTAATAACTCTTCCAACCCCTCAGCCCCCACCCTACAAAACCCACATGTTAGTTTCAGGGAAACAGAGAACGGTATCTCTTCAGAAGGTTCTGAATGTTAACCAACTGTGGATTACATCAGTTAAAAGGAGGAAAAAAAAATGGGAAGGGAAGTTCTGTATACAAGTAAACAAATACTTTTTTTCCCCTACAAAGCAGATACTCCATAACCTGAGCTACAAGATAAGCACCCTAAAAAGCAAGAAATTGACTAGGATAACAGATATAATACTTCAACTATGGCTAGAACAGTAATTATTATCCCCAGCAACTAGATGATCAATCTCTAAGCTTGGGTTGCTTTAAACCATAGAAACGAAGTGGTTTTCTGTTTTGTTTTTTTTAATCTGTAGACCCAAGTTTCACTTACAAAACTGTTCTTAGTGGTCTTTGTCATGGGGCAGACAAAAGCACAGGACAACTAAGTCCTTCTGGAAACCCTAACCCTCAATTCCAAGACATGCGTATATGCAGTTCCACGGTACAACCTGCAGTTACGTATTAGTGAGGCTCCAAAAGACAATGCCTAGCATCAAGTGACACGAAGGTGATAAAAGTCTGGAAAATCATATAAAAAGAGAAACTTTGGCCTATTTACAGTTTTCCCAATTACATTAGACATACGCAAAAGTTGAAAATTAAAATTTCCCCTCAAATATAAGGATACAGAAAAAAATAAAAAAATAAAATTTATTCTGAATTCTGAAAAGGTTTTATGGCCTAGAAAGTAATTTTGGGAACTAAGCTCGATTTCACTTTCTAGGTTTAAAAACTGTAGCCTCTTAAGAGCCCTAGGACTACTTCAGGTAAAAGATAAGAAAATTTAACATGTTCGGTTCTGAGGTTTCATAAAATCCCAAATACCTGAAAGGGGGAACAACCTGAAAAGAGGAAAAGTGGGAGAATGTGAGCTCAACTAATAACATGGCTATTCTAGGAGAGGAAAATTTTACATCCTGCCCAAGAAAGAATTGTTAGCCACTTCAATGCAAGTCAATTTTCTTCAAAGTGAAAAGTACGCCCTCATAATTGAGAGTTATTTACAAGAAAAATGAAGCCTGTTTCCAATCTGAGAATACTACATAAGGAAAATAATGCTAATTTTCAACAAATGCAAAAGTTTTATCGGTATCTCTTGCAAACAGAAAAAAAAAGCGATGTATCTAAATAACTACTGTGAAAAGAAATGGCAACCTGACACCAAAGGGTCGTTTTTAAAAATATAATGTTCAAATGACAGAACTCAAATGATCTGTCCACAGTAAGGCCCGGAGAACTCTGAGCAATATTTTCTATTTAGTCAACTGGTACAGCTCGCTCACTAACGTGGCAATTTTACGCATGAGAAGTAAGGGAATTAAGCTGGCTGAGTGCGGGTTAAGTGACTGTGTTTTGAGACCTGCTCACAGGAAGCCACTACATCCTGCCTGAAGTCCCGTCAGTCACGCCGTCCCTCGATTCAAGTCCCGCCGCAGCGAGCTGGGGCGAGTACAGGTGTCCGGCCGAGCCCCTCCCAGCGCGCTCACCCGCGAACAGCCCGCGCGGCAGCCACTCGGGCCCCCAGGGCGGCCTGTTTCCTGCAGCTCAGGGCGCCTTTTTCAACCTCTCCCAGGCTCGCAAGCCCAGGAAACGAGCATCCCCCTCCCCTTGGGCCAGCCCCACTTCCCCGCCCGCCTCCTCCTCGGGCCGCGCCTCCGCGTAATTACCACTCGGCTAGCACCGCCGGGCGGCTCCCCAGCACCCGCAGCCGCGCGGAGGCCTGCGTCTGAGGGCGGCCGGAAGCTCCTCACGCCCCCGGACCGCGCCCCCGGCCGCGCCCCGGGCTCTGGCGTCCCAGTGTCCAGGCCGCTCCGGACGACCAAGTCCCTCACGCCGGCGCAGCCGGGACTCCCCCACCCCAGGCCAATCCCCTGCTCCCACTCCCACCCTAGAGAAGCAGCCCCGGCCCACGCCGCCCCTTCGAGGCGACGCCGCCCCCAACACACCCCCTTACAGCCTCACCCGCGCCCAGCCCAGGCCCCCTCCCGGGCCTGCCATCCCAGCGGGGCTCGGCGCCGCCACCACCGAGCGCTCGCCGCCCCCTCAGCCCCGCGCCCGGCGCCGCCGGGGCGTCCCTTCAGCCCAGCCCCCGCTTACAGATCTTGCCCCGCAGGCTCTGCAACACTCGAACCTCGCAACTGTCCTCGTCCCCGGCCTCGGGCTCTGCCGTTGCACTCGCCGCCGGCGCATCGGAAGAAGCTGCCGCAGCAGCAGGCGCCGCCGCCGCCATGGTGCCGCCCGGGCCGTGCCGCAGCCCCACCGCCTGCGTAGCCCGGCGAGGCGGAGCCCAGCAGTGGCCTAGGCCCGGGCGAGCCGCGCGCCTGGCCCCGCCCCCGGGCCGCGGCCTGACTCGCCCCGCCCCTCCCCGCCCCGCCCCGCCCCGCCCGCCGCGGCCCCGCCCCCGCCCCACCCGGGTCTCCATTCGCCGCCGCCGCCCCCGCCTCCCGCGAGCCGGGCCCAGGCGAAACCGCCCTCCTGAATTGGGGCGCTGGCTAAGTGTGGCTCCGGGTCGTGGCTCTGAGCGGCCTTAAAATCCCCACCGGGAGAAAGCTCCGGCCCTCTGGTGATCCCAAATCCTCCCGAGAATTGGGCTCCCCTCAACGAACAGACCTGCACATCCCCTAACGCTAGGGGGAAATAACGGCCCTTCCCAATCGGGGGAACTCCCTGTGGGAAGAAAATAGAGTGGAATTTGGCAGGTGGGTGGACCTCAAAAGTATCTTATTCAAAAGGAGGCAAGAGATGCATTCGAGAGACTCCTCCAGTATTATCCAAACACTCCCCGCTGGCAAGCCAAACTCCTCCCACACAAATACTCTTACTAGGACCACTTCTCTGCAAAAGCTCGTTCAAGAAAAGGACCATAGACCCCCCAACTCCAGCGTGAGTGCAAAGCCTGACACCCTCTCAGAGAAATTCTGAAGCATTTACCATCACTTTTGTACTTCGGGAACAGAAAAAGCAAAGAAGGATTCCCACCACCACTTTTAAAAGCTCACTTTTAAAAGTGGGCTTTGTTAAAAAGTTGACTGACCCTGGAAAATGTGTAAATCTTTGACTAATTGTTAGCTTTATTTCAAGGGAACTCTTTACAGTGAGTAAACTGCATGAATAATACCCTGGTATGTGATGAGAAAGACAATTTCCTGGTGTTGAGGTTATTAACTACGTTGCCCTAAGAAGGAAGAAAGTGTGACTTAATAGGGCAGGGTAATTCTTTTTCAGGGCAACAACAGGAATAAGCCAGTCAGTCAACAAATATTTTTTGAGGGTCAGACATAGTGATGGCCTCAGATTCAGAGATATACACAAGGTCAAGATGAAGAGAGCTCCTGCTCAGATAACAGAGATAACAGAAAAGGGCAGAGGCATGGAAGATGAGAAATAGAATGGGGTGGCCGGACGCGGTGGGTCACGCCTGTAATCCCAGCACTCTGGGAGGCCGAGGTGAGTGGATGAAGAAAGAGGTTAGGAGTTTGAGACCAGCCTGGCCAACATAGTGAAACCCCGTCTCTACCAAAAAGACAAAAATTAGCCGGGCGTGGTGGTGGGCTCCTGTAGTCCCAGCTACTCACGAGAATGAGGCAGGAGAATTGAGCAGGAGAATTGCTTGAATCCGGGAGGCAGACGTTGCCGTGAGCGGAAATTGGGCCACTGCCCTCCAACCTAGGAGGCAGAGCAAGACTCTGTTTCAAAAAAAAAAAAGGAAAGAAAGAAAGAAAAGAAAAGAAAAAGAAACAGGATGGGGAAACCTGAAAACTGAAGACAAATGTGCTGCATTTGCCAAGGCTGGACAGTCCCAGAGAATGGCCAGAGATTAACATGTGCCTGGCCAGCAAAGCTTCCAGCTCTGCCTGTGTTGCGGGTAACCCCTATTCCCCAATATGATCTTTACATCTGTTGGATAAAGTGAACCACCTCCTCTTATACGACTGTTCTGCTGTCATTTCATACCATAAGTTCAAAACTTAATTTCCTGTCTTCCTTTCCAAATCCGAGTTCACACCTTGTATACTGTTACTCGGGCTAGAAACTTTGACTTTTTCTCATCCGTTGTCCCCATACTGTTTTCAGTTGCCACATCCTCCGACTCTGCGGAAATCTCTTCCTTCCTTTCCATTCTGTCATTGCCTTTGTTAAAATTATTCTCATTTAAAGAGTATCAACGTGTTACAGAGCCATTTTCCCCCTTATTTTTAAAGGTGTGCCTTTTTAGAATCAGGCTCTTTGTCTGATTTTACATTTGGGGAAGTTACTCACCTTTCTAAACCTGTTTCTTTTCTTCTTTTTCTTTTTTC